ACCTAATGATGAAATGGAAACAGCAGATGCCACTATCAGACACTTTGGTTCATGAACTCATTATGTTCTCCCTTGAAAAAGGCAACATGAAGCTCTTGACATTGTCCCTCTACACAAAACAAGAATGAAGAATGGGCCCTCAAGAAGATCACTCCAAATGATAAGCCCCTCTATTTGTGGCTTATGTCCAAGTGTGGGTTGCATTGTCATTAAAATAAGAGTTTGCAATCTAAGCTGAATCCATCCGGATGCAAAATGAGTCAACTGGGACTCCATCTAAAGCTGGATTGTCAGCTCTCATGATTTCACCATGAGTCTCATTGTGTCTAGTGCTTTCTTAAATCCCAGATTCTGGATTCATGGCTTCAAGGAAAATGTCAGGTACCATTAAAAAAACTAATGATTTGTAAAGCAAAGTAATGATTTTAGATGTTTGACTCATAACTTTTGATAGAAATCCATGGAACGCCAAGTTGCTCAAGTGACACAACTCATGCTACTTTCCATTAAGCATATTTTTTCTAGTTTAATAGCATAACTGCTCTCAATTTAGAGAGCTGAAAATAGAGTTGAAACAGAGCAAAATAAAAGTCTTGGGGTAAATCACTGTCCAAGAAGTAAGTGTCAGTCACATGGGAAAAGAAGTGTCATAGCTGTACAGCCCGCCATATCTCTTCCCTTCTCTCCATCTTCTTGAGTACACATCCTTCAGTCCTCAGGACACATGTTTTTTCACCACTGCAGGGTGGAATAATGCAGTTCTCCCAGGTTCAAACAGGGCTCTGGCCTATAACACTCAAATGTGTACCAGCAGGTCTGATGGGGTTTGACACCTGTGGTTCTTCCCTTCAAAAGTGTGAGACCTATAGTGAATACAGTGACCAGTCACCCTTCCTGAATCAAAGTGTTGTTTAATGTTACCAAAAGAAAAGAAGCATTTGTGGGGAAAGGATTTAAAACAAGAGTCTACAAGAATGTCTAATATACCCAAAGCCCTACTAACCTGTGATACTGGCATAGGCAAGCTGAACTTCTTCAGTCCTCCAGAGTGTACTAGTATTAGTATGGTTTCTCCACAGCAACAGTCCCATTCATGATCTTGATACAGCCTTATAATTTAACCAGAGTCCCCTTGGTCTTGTTAATTTAGGGGCACCTGTTCTACTTGAGTTCAGTAAGATTAATGAAGCCAAGACATAGAATCATCATAGCTAATAATTCAGACAATGCCTTTTAAGTGTTAAATGTTTCCTGAGGAGTGTCTTTTCTTAAGCCACTGTTTCCTTTCTGCATGTGGTTTTTTCCCTATGAAACCAAAACAGTATAAAATCACAGGATTTGAAGGGACCTCAGGTCCCAACCCCCTGCAAAGATGTAGAATTTGCTTTTCCTGAATCATCCCAAAGAGCCACCTATCCAGTCCTATCTATCCAGGATAGAGTTCTATCCTACTGTATATCCATACAATAAATATCCCCCAAACCAAATCAACTTACAATATTCATAATTTATTGCAGAGCAGCTCTATATCCATCTTATAAAGAACACCAGTAATTCAGGTGGGGAGAAATAACTTTCACTTACCAAGAATTTCTGACCCATTCTGTAATTGTTTTGCTATTCTAAGAAAACTCAAACATGGGGGGCAAGGAGGTATTTTCAAATACTTATCTAAGGTCCCTCTATGAAAGGGCTTGTCATTATGGAAGCACACTATATGTCCCAGTCTCCTAGGTTCCATGCCTTGTTGTGAATCAGTATCCCAAGAGGTACCATCCTATAAAGCAATTATTTTGGGCGGAAGGCCGCTTACTGAGTTTTGGCAAGCCATCAAGGGCTGCACAATAGGCAGCCAGGGGCAGATAAATATTAATTTTCTAAATTTTTTAGGGGCCCCATGGGCCGGATAGAATAGCCTGGCAGGCCACATCTGGCCCCTGGGCCGCATTTTGCCCAGCCCCGCTGAGAAGCTTGCCTTGCCCACTTGTACCCACTCAGCTTGCACCATATCCTAGGAAGGAAGCAATATAGTTGGAGTACATGCCAAGGCAAAGAGCCTGACAGTGGGGTTGGGATATATTCAAGGGCATTCTATAACAGCCATACTGCCTCATACCAAGGATGGGGTAAGTTCTGAGCAAGTCTGAGTGGGAGGAGTATGCTTCTTGGTGGTATTTCTTGGTGTGGCTTGGAGGCAGGGCAGACAAGCCCAAAACTGCTAAGCATCTGTCCCTGAGCTGATCAGACACATGGGGAACAGTCTGTAACAAACCACAAAACAAAGTTCACTTGCCTGGCTGGGGATTTGGAGTCCTGGATGCTTTGCATGGCTTAGGTCAGAACAAGACTTACATGGGCCCAATCCTATACAAGTTGGTATGCAAGAGGTGAGCCTACTCATGGGAGCAAGAGCTGCAATGCTATCCAGCATTTCCAAAGCAGTGCTCCAAAACTACATTCCATTAAAAAAGAAATCCTTGTGGGATGTTCCCCCCTTTTCTTCCTATTCATGAGACCAACACCCAAACAGTCATGACTCAGAAACCACGCAAAATTCCGGAATCATCATCATTTGAAGAATGGGCTTGTCTAACAAAGGATTATTTCTCTTTACCTCCTACTACTGCTCCTCCTTTTCCTTGCAATAAGCATGGAAGAGTCAGACTAATGAGCAACGGAAAAAAAACGTCCCCAGTGCAGGATTTTACTGCCTGCACTTTGTCCCACTTTCCAGGGGAGACAGAATCAGAAAGTTTTAGAAGCAATTAATACCAGTACAGCTAATGAGATGCTTCTAAATCCTGCCTCACCTGCATAGCAAATGAAGAAGTACATAGCAGCTTCTGAGTATTGACAGCTCTGTGCCAGGTCAATGGAGCTGGTTCTAATCACAGTTGTATCCCTTCTGCACCCCTGTGATTCTAATGCCTTCAAAGGGTTTACATCAAAAGGGTCTTCACCAGGAGTTTGAGTTCCTCATGTCTTAGACTGATTTACACTGACCTGAGAGGAAAAGTGGGCACTACAGCTGCAAGTTTATTTCTGAGCCTAGAAAATAGCTTTTGTAAATCTGGATTCACAGATGTTTGAATCATATGTGCTTTGAAAGTTCCACAAAGCTATTTGAGAAGAACATGAGACTAAGGGAACACCCTTCATGCAATAACAATAATAACTGTAATAATTATAATGCCTAGCTATGATGGGGCACTTTACATCAGTAGGTCACCAAAGCACTTTACAAAGGAGGGCAAGATCATTATTCCTTTATTAGAGATGGGGAAACTGAGGCACAGAATAGTAATGTGACTTGCCCAAGGTTACCCAGCAGGTCAGCAGCAGAGCTAGGAACTGAAGCTAAGTCCACTGAGTCCAGGTAAGTGCTCTGCCCGCTAGGCTTCACACACAGTAAACATATCTTTTTCCAAACACTGAGGTTACCTGCCTGTATATTTTTTTACCTGAAGAGTGTTTACAGCCTATAGCTGTGTTCTAGCCAGAAGTTCTTAGGGGTAGATAGAAGTGCTGACATGCAGAGAGAGACAGAGAGAGAGCAGACTCATGCCAAACCACTGCAATGAACAGAAAATATTTACAGCTGTCATGGAGAAGGGTGAGAGAATGACACTCATTTTGCATTTTTTGTTGGGCTTCAAGAGATGCTGCAAAAGTCTTGACAGTTCCTCTGACCTCCACCTGCTATGTGAACTGTTTGTCAGTTCTGCCGCTTTCCTGGGTGAGAAGTCTTACCATGAAGTCACAGGCCACAAAGCTGCTGAAGGCTTGGGATGGATGAAAAGAAGAGCAAAGAAAACAGAGAAAAATGGAAGAGACCAGCAAAAGAAAAATGTAACATACTGTACAAAACAGTCTTTTGGTGATTTAAACTGTGAGTATTTTAGTATTGTCATACTGAGATGTGAAAGGCACTGTAAGAACTGTGACTGCTTCACCACCTCCAGTTGGCCCCACCTCAGCAAGGTGTTTAAGCTCATATGTAATTTTCCTGTCCTTTGCTTTGAATTTTACATTTTCTTCATGTTAAAACAGACGCAGGCTTATGCTGTGACAGTCTTTGTTCATGCTGAGGCACAATCATATCTCAGTGTTAAGGTATGATTCCCAGCTATCTTTAAAAAAATGGCAGGCCCTTATCAATGGGTGGAAGTTTCTAAAGCACCAAAGTGACTTAGAAGCACTATGGAAATGGAAGCAGTGGGAATTATGGGGTTTCTCACAAAAAAACCACCTCACCTGACTGAATCCACCCCAAATCTTGTTGGAATTAACCCTAGCTCCATTGTGCCCAAGACTCCACAGATGGAGTAATTTTGTGTAATGTTGCTGTGCAGTATTAAGCAGATGCTCCTTTCCATCCCAGAGGTAGCTGCATTTCAGTGTTGTTAGGTTATGTAATTGATAAACAAACCAAGGTAAATTCTAGCCTCAGAGAAGTCAATGGCAAAGTTTCTACTGACTTCAGAGGAATCACGATTTCACTTAGAGAGCTTTGGATCCTTCTATAAGGAAGTCACTTATAGACATATAAGCTTCCTGTAGGTATTATAGTGATGTGTGTTTTCTTCATGTCTCAAGGCAAAAGGAACAACGAACACCTTTAAGAAAAACTGCTCTAATTTTAAAAAAAAATCTTAAAAACAGATTAAAGGCATTCTGTTCAAGATTGTAACAATCCTTTTTTACGTGTTTGTATCTTTAAATATTGCATTCAATCACTATGCAGAGAAGCTACATCCTTTCTTAACTATTGTAGATTTTCTAACTCCTTGATGCATATAGTCAAACATTATGTACACATATGTTTATATAAAGCCAAATTCAAGTCATTGTACTGCACCTAAGGAAAAATGCCTTTGCATAGACTTTGCCTATATTTTCATATTTTCAATGCAAATATTGTGTTGGCACAACTTGATAAGAATAGTTGGTTATTTTCATACTCCACGCTTTTAACAGGTGGTTAAAAAAATGAACCAGGAGAAATCACTTCTTTTCAAAATGGCACACTAAGGTCTTTAAGTTTCTAACAAATCCTCTAAAATACGATCACAATTGTCCCACATTTCCCACAGGTTTCATTACCAA